GGCAGCAAAGCAAGGAGCCCAGGGCCCCGGCTGGTGGGGAGGCTGGGCAAGCCAGGGCTCTGAGCCTCGGGAGCCGAGCTCACTGGGGCAGTGCAGCCCAAGGGGGCTTCCTGGATGGGGAGGCACCCCAGCGGGACCTGGAGCCGGGACAGGGCGGGGCCAGCTTTTCTGGCTGCTGCTGCTTCAGCCCAGAGCACAAGGATGAGATTTTTCAGTGCCTGCATGGCTGGGGTGGTAGGGGGCAACAGTGGTGTGGACAAGCTGTTTGCAAATCAAATGCCCTTTCGGAGGCTCAGGCAGTCCATACAGGGCTTTAACTGAAAAATCAAATTCTTATTTTCTCCGAAAGTGCCCTGCTTGTTTCTAAGCCCACATACAGTGTTATGGGCAATTGTGTTCCCTGGTATTCTTTTTTAAAGCGGAAACCACACAAAGCAGAGCACACGAGCCGCGTGGCCTGCTGGCCTCTGTTACAAGATTATCCTGGTGTCCCCTGAGATGGAGGTGGCACTTCCCTCGGCTGGGAGCTCTTGTGGATCTGCAGGCAGGTGCTGGCTCCGCGGAGGTGAGACCTCGGGCTGGAGGGATTGGACCAGGGAGTGGGGCTCTGGGACCAATGTGCCCACCCCAGGTACCTGACATCTGGCTTCCAGGTGCAGCAGAGGGCAGAGGGGGCCAGGGCTTCCGTGGGGCTGTCTTGAGACCTGCCCTCCTCTCTGGGGCCGCAGCACCTCATCTCCTGCCTGTGGGATGGTGGGATGTGGGGACACAGGCCTGGCCCAGCGTGCTAGCGTGAGCACCAGTGTGTGAATGTGTGTGTCAACGTGTGTCAGTGAACGTGCATGCATGTTTGCGTGTGTGTGTGTGTGCACGTGCACACGAGGGCCATTTCTCCGGCTCCTTCCCCGGCCACAGGAGGACTGGGCGGTGGCTCCTTCCTGTGGCCTGGTGGCCCGGCATGGATGGGGTGTGAGGTCTGCTGGGGGCTTCAAGCCCTGGATGGGGGTCTGTCCAGCTGCCACCAGCACTGTGGGGCCCCCACTGTTCAGCCCCCATGGGCTGGCCGTGCTGGGCTCCTGACACGTGGTCCAAGCCTGGGTACGGGTGCCATGACCCTCCTGCAGCCCAGGACACGGGGTCCTGGGTCCCCGAAGGGAGGGTGCTGAGTGCCGCGTGGTCCTGCGGAACTCTCTGGCAGCTCTGCTGGCTGAGGGCTCAGTGAGGCTCTGTGCATGTTTTCTGAGCCGTGCGGGAGGCAGAGCCAAGCGTGACCATCCCTGTCCACGGGGAGGACCCCTCACTTGGGCTGTGGGCACCGGGGGGTGGGAGCCCCGAGGGAGGCTTCTCTGGCTGTAGGGAGAACCCACAGATTTGGGATCCTGTTTCCTGGCAAGGCCCCCACTTCTGAGTACTGGCCATTTCTCGTTTGTGTTTGGGGTTCAGTCTCAGCCCAGAGGGGCCCAGGGGAGCAGCAGCGAGTGTGGGGCATCTGAACTCTGTGATGTGGGGATCTGGGCAGCCGCAGGGGTGAGGGGAAGGGCCCTGGCTTGGCCACTCAGGGTGCAAGGCCGATGTCCACCCTGGAAAAAATGAGAAGCACAGGTGGCCGGAGGGACGTGGGTCCTGAGGGACTCAGCCTCCTTCTGGGAAGGGCAGGGGCCCAGGGAGACCCTGCCTCAGGGAGGGACCCTCCTTCCTGGGCCCGAGTCCTGACCCTGTGAGACCGTGATGCCCACACACCTGTTCCGGCTGGGGCAGCACCTTTCAGACCCCAGCAAGGCCTGCTGTCCCCGCAGAGGGCTCCAGGCTCCTGCCCACTCCAGGGCTGGGCCCTTTCTTGGAGCGGGGGGGATGGACGAGGCCCAGATCCTGGCCTTATCTTAAGAGGAGGCAGGGGGATGGCCCAGGTGCTGTCTCAGGCTCCTCCCTGCCCAGGGCACTTCTTCACGCCAGGCCAAGGGCTCGGCCCAGCAAGCCCCCTTCCCCTTCCCCCGGGCCCCTCGCAGAGGGCACGCCTGAGGGGCCGCGGTTCGAGAGTTTCTCGTGGGCCGGCGGCCTCATCTGACCCAGCGGGAGCCGTCGGTACTTCCTGCTGACTGTCTCCCTCCTTTCTGTCGACCTTCCTGTTGACCTCTCTCCTTTCCAGCAGAGGCCTGAGGAAACTGAGCTCAGCCCTCTGGTCCAGCCCTTCCTCGGCGTCTCAGGGGATGTCGGTCAGTCCACCCATTCTACAGGGAACAGGGGGCAGACTGAGGCTTCCCCGGGACAGGGCGGGGAGGACAATGGGGGACGAAGTAAGATCCTGCGTAAAGGGCAGGATGGGGCGCTGGGCCCATCCTCTGGCCCAGGATGTGGGGTCCACCCCACCCCAGTAGCAGGGAGGGCGTGGCATACTCCACAGGGGGCTCTCCTGAAGACATCGGCCACGGGGCAGCCAGCTGGGTAGCCCGTGGGCGTAGCCCATGTGTCTACTCCCTCTTTGGCACAGAGGGATAAACTGGGGTCCAGAGAGGGGCAGTGGCCCAGAGAGGGAGGAGACGTGCCCAAGGTCACACAGCAGGTAGAGGCTGCCCCCCTGCTTCGTCCTGAGCTGTTCCCTCCCTGGCCAGCTGGGGGCCGGAGGAGGGCTGACCTCTGTAGGGAGGGGAGACCCTGCCCCCAGTGGGAGGGCAGTGCTTGAGGGCCGAGGTCGAGGTGTAGGGCCGGACAGACGCTTACACGCGCCCCAGGCCACCGTTCACCTGCGTGGTCGTGCGTGTCAGCCGAGCTCGTAAATAACCGCGCAGGTAAAGGATTTAATTTCCTCTCGTTCGTTCCGTGTTCTCGCTGCCTCGTAAATCTCCGCCGTTTATGACCGTCTCTTCGCACTTTTGTGATGGCTGATAATGGCTGGGTAAGTGGCAGAGAGGATGAATTCTGCAGCAGATTTTAAACAAACGTGCACGTTGGAGCCATAAATAACTTTAAGCAGGTCCGGAGGTGGGCACCACCTGGCCTGTTACCCCGGGAGAGCCGGCACTGCCCGTGGGAAGGGCCTGACTGCCCCGGGGTTCTGGCCTCCCCTCCCCGAGGTGGGCAGGGCTCAGGGTGGGGAGGAGGGCATGTTCCTAGGAGTTCTTTAGTCAGGAGGAGCAGAGACCCACCAGGGCTAGTGTGCAGGTGTGCGTGTGTGTGCACGGGCACACACACTACGTGTCTCTGCAGGCTCCCAGCCCACCCCAGATGCACACCCCAGAGAGGTCATTGCTCTTGGGATCTGGCGTCCCCCTCTGTAGGATGAGCCCCCGCTGACAGTTCTTTGCAGTTGCAGGATCCCTTGTTCCATTGCTGAAAGGGGCTGGGGCTGGAGCCCAGCCTGCTCCAATCGCCAGCCCCTGCACCCCCAAGGGACCCCTATGCTGCCCTTAGTCTGGAACCTCTGGGCCAGTTACCTGCTGCTAAGGTCCCTTCTGCCTGTGAGGTCTGGGCTCCTGCGGGCCCAGCTGGGGCGACCAGACCAGGCTGGATGGGCAGATCCTACAGAAAACCCTGGGGCCAGAAGTAGGGGTCCATGAGGGCATGGATGTGGGCTGGGGTGGAGGCTGGACTAGAGCATCGAGAGCCCCTTGGTCAGGCTTCTGGCCAGGGGGACAGGCAGGTGGGGCTGGATCCCCGAGCAGAGCCAGTCAGCCCTGGGCGGGGGCTGGTGGCTTCTCTCCATTTCCTGGGGTCCATCTCAACCCCACCTTCTCTACCCCAGGACCATCCTCTCTGCAAACAATAAAGATGGGGGGGCGTGCACACACACACACACACGTGCACACACGCATTTACATATGTGCCCACGCACACACATGCATGCTTTCCAAACATAAAGTCCCCCAGACATTAGCTATTGCTTTGCCTGAAGCCTGCCAGACCCTCACCACGGTCCTGGACCTCGGCGCCCACTCGGCACTGGGTGACTACACCCACCATTGTTTATCTTCTGCTAAAACTTGCTTTGCCAACCATGGGGCTGGAGAGTCCCCTCATAAAACCATAAACGTAATTGATATTCTCAGCATTTTGAGAAAAAATATGAGTATTAAAAAAATACAGTACACCTCATAAAATTCCCTCCTATTTCTTCTTTATGGTGGGTTCTAAAATTGGCAAAATAAATTCCCTGAGACCATTACACTTAACGCAGACTGTATTGTGGAGGCAGGAGATGCCGAGCCGACGGCTGTGGGCTTCTCTCCACTGCGGCCTCAGTCCCCGCCTGGCCACGGGCTGCTTTCCTACAAACCTGTTAAAATGGGACTAGCGATGGCCTTGTCACAGTCTCTGACCACGGCAGAATGCGGGCAAGTTCCTTCTCAACAATGGGCAATTTCCGTCACCCTCCAAGAAAATAAAACACCTTACGATGCCCACCTGTGGATTCTTCCATGTTTGGGATTCCACAGGGCCTGTTTTTCTGTGGGTGCAAGTGTTGGCCTCAGAGTCGGCTGCCCCGAGCCCTGCACCGCCTCCTCTTGGGCAGGTCAATGAGCTTCCCTGCCTCAGTTTCCCTGCTGGTCCCTATTGGTTTAATTCCAGGGATGGTCACAACCTGTGATTGTATACCCACACTTTTCTTCTTGGCTGTCTTTCTCCTTCACGAGACTAAAGCTCCGAAGAGCAAGGAGATTACATTTTTTTACAACTTTTAAAACCAACTTTATTGAGGTGTAATTTACAGGCAATAAAAGGCACGCCTTTTAAAAAAAGTAAACTTTATTTTTTAGTACAGCTTTAGAATTACAGAAAAATTGTGAAGATAGTCCAGAAAGTTCTTGTATACCCCAAGATCAGCTCCCCTCTTATTAACATCTCACATGAGTATGGTGTGTTGGATACAATTAATAAACCAATGTTGATACATTGTTGTTAAGTGCAGTCTACACATTATTCAGATTTCCTTAGTTTTTACCTAGCATCCTTCTCTTCCAGAACCCCAGGCAGGGCACCATGCAACATCTGGTTGTCACGTCTCCTTAGTCTCCTCACGGCTGTGACAGTTTCTCAGACATTCCTTGTTTTTGACGACCTTGACAGTTCTGAGGAGGACTGGTTAGGTGTTTTGCAGAACATCCCTCTGTTGGGATTTGTCTGATGTTTTTCTCGTGATTACACTGGGGTTGGGTAGGAAGACCACAGAGGTAAGTATGACTTTCATCGCCTGCTATCCAGGGGATATAGCGTCCTCATGACATGTCACTGTGGACGTTGACCTGGATCCCCTGGCTGAGGTGTGCTGTCAGGTCTCCTCTGTAAAGGGGCTCATTTCCCCCTCTCCACACTGTCCTCTTTGGAGGGAAGTCGCTGCCCAGCCCACCCCTGAGCAGTGGGGGTCACCCTCCACCTCCTCGAGGGGGCAGAGCATCTACATAAATTACTTGGATTCTTCTGCAGGGAGGTTTGTCTCTTTCCCTCACTTAGTTATGGAGCAATCACTGACTTACATCAGTGTGGACTCATGAGGATTTATGATATACTTTGGGGTAAAATCCGGTGCTACTTTATTTTGTTGTTCGAGTGGTCCCCGCCTCGGCCAGTGGGAGCCCCTTCACTCGGCTCCCGTGTCCTCTGACGTGCCCCATCATCTTGTGTGCTTGTTGAGTGCTTTCTTCCTTTCCGGCCCTACAAGGAGCTCCAGGCTCCCCTTGTGAATTTCCTGCCCCAGCCCTAGAATCGGCCGTTTCTCTGGGGATCCCTGGTTCCTTTTCCTGGAGAATCTTATTAGAAACCAAGATCTGGGCACTATGTGTGCTTGTTGCTGTTGGGGCGTTGTCGCTTCCAGACCTTCTCAGCTGAAAGAGCAGGGAAATGTGTGTGTGTAGACTAACCTGTGTATACACACATAGCTGTATGTGTTCAGGCTTCTCCAGAACCAATAGGAGATTTCATATGTATGTAATGAGTAATTGGCTCACAAAGTCTGGAGGCTGAGAAGTCCCACAATCTGCTGTCTGAAAGCTGGAGACCCAGCAGAGCTGGTGGTGCAATCCGGTCAGAGTCTGAAGGCCTGAGACCCAGGGGAGCAGGTGGTATAAATCCCAGTCTGAGGACAGGAGAAGATTAATTGACATGTCCCAGCTCAACCAGTGAGGCAGAAAAAAGGGGCGAATTCCTCCTTTCTCTGCATTTTGTTATTTAGGCCCTCAACGGATTGAATGATGCCCACTGTGTTGGGAGAATGACCTGCTTTGTGGAGTCGTTGATTCAAATGCTAATCTCATCCAGAACACACCCAGAAATAGTGTTTAACATGGGACCCTGTGGCAGCCAAGTTGACACACAAAATTCACCATTGCACCACTTGTATCTATGTTAGTCTAAACATGAGTTTGTGCTGGTGTCTCCAACTCTAATCCGTCACCACATGGGTGGTTCCAGCCTCTTCTCCTTGCTTATCTGCAGCCTCTCTCTCCAACAGTGAGAAACCTGGCTCCCACCACCCACCACCCATTTACTTACTTGTTAAATTCCGGTATATATGGATAGCAATACCAGAGTTGTTCACCTGTACCTCCCTGGGGAAGAACTTTATCTACTAGAGGACAGGGTTACACGAGGTTCCTTTCGCCTTTCTTCTTACAGACCACACTCATTTCTGAAGTCACTTAAGTCAGCACCTTTTCCTCTCACCTCCTTCAGTGAGGTGGTTTCATACATTTTTACTATAGTTAGGTTCTTTTGTCACAGTCTGACTTCTTCCCGGGAACTCCCAACCTCCTAAATGAATTTCTAAAAATTTGTATGTATTAAGATTCCTTCTTTTGCTGTGAAGTTCTATGGGTTGTGACAAGTGCATGGTGTCACATATTCACCAGTCCAGTGGCACACAGAATAGCTTCACTGCCCTAAAATTCCCCTGTGCTTCACCTATTCAACTTCCCTCCTCAGCCCTGGAAGCCTGGGCCACCACTCATCTTTTTACTGTCTCTGGGGTTTTGCCTCTTCCGGAATGTCATAGAGTTGAAATCATACGCACGCAGACTTTCAGATTGGCTTCTGTCACTTAGCAATATGCATTTACGTTTCCTCCATGTCTTTTCGTGGTTTGATAGCTCATTAATTTTTATCCCTAACTAATATTCCATCGTGTAGATGTACCAGAATTTTTTATTCCTTCACCTGCTGCAGCACATCCCGGTGGCTTCTAGTTCTTGGCAATTATGAACAAAGCTGCTGTAAACATTTGCATACAGGCTTTTGTGTGGACATAAGTTTTCAAATCAGTTGGGTAAATACCTAGGAATTCAACTGCTGGATCATATGGTGAGACTATGTTTAGCTTTCTGAGAAACTGCCAGACTCTCTTCCAACGTGACTGCACCATTTTGCATTCCCACCAGCAATGAATGAAAATCCCTGTTGCTCTACATTCTCCCTAGCAATTAGTATTGTCAATTTTTTGGAATTTATCCATTCTGATAGGCGTATAGTGGTATTTCCTGGTTGCTTTAATCCGCATTTCTCTAGTGATGAATGACACTGAGTATTTTTCATACGCTTATTTGCCGTTTGGTTGTATTTTTTAGTGAAGTGTTTGTTCAGACCTTTTCCACATTTTTAAATTGGGTTGTTTGTTTTCTAATTGTTAAATTTTAAGAAGTTTTTGTATATTTTGGATACAAGTCTTTTATCTGATCAGTGTTTTGCAAAGATTTCCTCCCAGCCTGGGCTTGCCTTTCCATTCTCTTAATGGCATCTTTCGCAGGCCAGACATTTTTAATGTTAAAAAGTCTCACTTAGGGCCGGCTCCGTGGCTTAGCGGTTAAGTGCGTGCGCTCTGATGCTGGTGGCCCGGGTTCGGATCCCGGGCACGCCCCAAGGCACCACTTCTCCGTCCAACGCGAGGCCGAGTCCCACGTACAGCAACTAGAAGGATGTGAACCTATGACATACAACTGTCTACTGGGGCTTTGGGGGGAAAAAAAATGAATAAATAAAATCTTTAAAAAAAAAAAAAAAAGTCTCACTTAGCAATTTTTTCTTTTGTAGATTGTGCTTGTGATTTTGTAACAAAAAACTCATCATCGCACCCAAGGTCCCTCAGGTCTTATGTTTTCTTCTAGAACTTTTATACTTTTGAGGTTTACATTTAGGTCTATGTTCCATTTGAGGTAATTTTTGTAAAAAGTGTCCTTAGTCTGTGTCTAGATCCATTTTTTAAAATTTTGCGTCTGAATGTCTAGTTGTTCCAGCGTCATTTGTTGAAGTCTGTCTGTCTCCATTGGATTGCCTTTGCTCCTTGTCAAAGAGCAGCTGACAGTATCGGTGTGGGTTACTATCGGGCTCTCCATTCTGTTCCATTGACCGATTTGTCTCTTCCTTCACCAATACCACACTGTCTTGATACTGTAACCTTTTAGTAAGTTTTGAGATTGGATAATATGAGTCCTCCAACATTGTTCTTCAGTATTGTGTTAGATATTCTAGGTCTTTTGACTTTTTCTATAAACTTTAGAATTGATTTGGTGATATCTACAAAATAGCTTGCTGGGATTTCGATTGGCATCGTGTTGACTCTGTGGATCGAGTTTGGAAGGACAGACATCTTAATGATATTGAGTCTTCCTATCCATGAACATGGAATAGCTCTCCATTTATTTAGATCTTTTTGATATCTTTCATCAGAGTTTTGTAGTTCTAAGCATATGAATCCTATAGATGATTTGTTAGATTTATACCTAAGTATTTTACTTTTTTGATTCCTTTGGAACTGGTATTGTTTTCTTAATTTCAAATTGCAATTGGTCATTGCTGGCATATAGGAAAGTATTTGACATTTATATATTAACCTTGTATCCTGCAACTTTGCTATACTTGCTTATTGGTTCCAGGAGATAGATAGAATGATGGGTTTATTTACACATACATGCATACATAGATTGATTTTTGAATGTGGAAATATTGCCTGGAATAAACCCCACTTGGTCTGGTGTATCATTATTTTTATATGTTGTTGGATTCAATTTGACAATATTTTGTTGATGATTTTTGCATCTACATTCATGAGAGTTATTTGTTTGTAGTTTTCTTTTCTTTTAGTGCTTTATCTGTTTTGGTGTTAGGGTAACGCTGTCCTTACAGAATGAACTTGGAAGTATGCCCTCCGCTTCTGTTTTCCATGAGAGATTGTAGAGAATTAGCATCTTTTATTCCTTAAATTTTTGGTAGAATTCACCAAAGAAGCCATCTGGGCCCAGCGATTTCCTTTTTTTGAAGGTTATTAATTAGTGTTTCAATTTCTTTAATAGGCATAGGCCTGTTCAGGTTACCTATTTCTCCTTGTGTGGGTTTTGGGGGTTTGTGTCTTTCACGGAATAGATCTGTTTTATCTTAAGTTCTCAAGTTGTGGACACACAGTTGTTCACAGCATCCTTTATGGTCCCCTCTGTCTATGGGATCAGGAGTGATGGCCCCTCCTTCATTTCTGATATTGGCGGTTTGCGTCCTCTCTCTTTTCTTTCTTGGTTAGTCTGACAAGAGACTTATCAATTTTATTGATCCTTTCAAAGAACCAGATTTTGTTTTTGTTGATTTTCTCTATTGTTTTCCTGTTTTCAATTTCATTGATTTCTGCTCAATTCTTATTATTCCTTTCCTTTACTTGCTTTGGCTTTAAATTGCTCCTCTATTTCTAGTTTCCTAAGAAGCTTAGATTATTTTAGATCTTTCTTCTTTTCCAACATATACATTTCATGCTATAAATTTCCCTCTGAGCACTGCCTTCTCTGCCGCGAGAATGGAACAGTTCTGGTAGGAGCGGTTCCTCTGCCTGAATCCTGACGTGTGGAAAACGCCACAACCGACCTACAGCCAGCTTGAGGGAGAAATCACCGTCTGTTGTCCACCATGGAGACTTGGAGACTGCTGTCGCCACAGCACAGCCTGGCATAAGTGACTAACAGAGAACTTGGCGCCTAGAATCGGGTGCTGCCATACACGGCCCTAAAATCTGTGGGTTGGCCCTGGGGCTGGTCCGGGGGGAGAGAGGGAACTGTAATTCGGAAGCAGCGCTTATCACGCAGCCATGAAACATTTGGCAAAACTGTCACCTGTGATGTCTTGGAAGGCAGAAGATACAGGAGACTGTGGGTTTTAGGCAAAGAGATTTGGAAATAAAATGTTACTGGTGTGTCTTGATTGGATACAAGAAATAAGGTCCTACAGAAAGAGAGGAGGCAGATAGAAAGTGTCTGGTTTGCAAACGGTGTTGAAAGAAGCGACTGTTTCTTTCCCCTGACTGAAAAAAGATGAAACTAGAAATGCTTCGCTCAACAAAGGCCAATTAGGCTCAGCCTGGCAGCAAAGACCAGACGGAGAGGGTGACCACTGGTCTTCCATTACAATCTCTGAATAGATGAACCTGGCAGCCCAGTAAATCTTTTTGCAGGTGAAATTTTGCAGGCATGGAGATTGAGGGCACTGCTCTCCCGAGGAAGCCCAGTGAGATCCCGGCAGCTGTGAGTAAGTCAGAGAGCCAGGTGCATCTCTAGAAAAGCCGTGGGTGTGGCGACCAGCACAGGAAGCGCCCTGGAATCACATGGACGCAGAGCTAGGGAAGTGTTGGGGGCTGTGCAACCAGCTTGGATTCACCGTTTGAATGCAGAGTGCATGACGGTGAAGGGGCCAGACTGGAAACGGCCTTTGGGGCTCCAACCCAAAGGCAGGCAGGACACAGGAGGGAGGGATACAGGTGCTTCAAGAAGAACATATTTCCAGAATCTTCTTCAGATGTGGCCAAGGAGAGTGATGGAAAAGGAAAGCCTCGGGGGATGGGGCTAAGTGCTGTGAGAACAATGGTCTGGGAACCCCCACCCCCAGGGGGCAGAATCGGGACTTAGCATCTCTCCCAGTGTGGCTGGGACCGCCCTGGTTTGAACACTGGAAGTCTCACATCCCAGGAAACCCCTCTGTCTTGGGACACCAGGATGGGTGGTCAAGGCAGGGCCCATCCAGAAGCACTCCCCACGCCAGGTCTGGGGCTCTCCAGACATTCGCCCGGGTCAGGGTGCGGCTCTCAGCGTCGTATTTTGTGCTGTGAGTGGATGACGACATGTCCTCTCAGCTCTCAAGTCTCTGGATCCAGAGGAATCCACCCAGCTCTGACGTTGCGATTTTGACAGGAACCTGCACTTTTTTTTTGTTTTTATTTTTTTTGTTGTTTATTTATTTATTTTTTGAGGAAGATTGGTCCTGAGTTAACATCTGTTGCCAATCTCCTTCCTTTTTTCCTTTTTTCTCCCCAAAGCCCCAGGAGATAACTGTATGTCATAGTTGTACATCCTTCTCGTCGCTCTACGTGGGACACCGCCTCAGCATGGCTTGATGAGCAGTGCAGAGGTCCATGGCCAGGATTCAAACCGGCGAACCCCAGGGCCGCCGAAGCAGAGTGCACGAACTTAACCACTACGCCACCAGGCAGGCCCTGGAACCTTCACTTTGAACCTGATGTCACCTGAACAACTTCGGGGCTGTTTCCAGGTGTCATGTGTGGAGAGATGAAGGCAAATGCTTGTGATGAAGGGGGGCGGGGGTCGTACTGTGTCACCAGCACTGCCTCCTCTCTCAGGAGAGGATTGTACTCTCCCACGTTGTTCACACCAGGCTTGGTCCAAACAGATGCCAGCAAAGGGGGGCATGCCACCTCCAAGCAGAAACTTTCTGAGACCACATGCTTTTGTCCCACGCTCTTTCCCTAGGCCTTGAGAATGGCACGACACAGAGAAGGCCTGCGTCATTAGCCTGGACCCCACAAGAAGGAAGGCACGTGGAGCAGGCCACAGCTGGCCTATTGCCTGCATGTAACGTGAGCAAGAATGATAGTGCTTTGGGGGAAGGCTCTGAGATTCTGGGGATGTTTGTTACCGCAGCACGGTCTAGCATAAGCCGACTAATACAGACTGTGTCCTTACCTTCTCTCGGAGGTCATCGCTGACCTCCAGGGTAGCAAGTACAATGGGCCTCCTCTGTTCTCCACCTTGCCTCCCCTCGGGCCAGCCCCGCTCCCTGGCCTTGCAAGCACTGTCTGTACCTCCCCTGCTCTGTGGCATCCCCATTTGACATATTTTAAATCAGGGAGAAAGGAGAGGAGAGCAGGCATCCCAGAAGACCTCGGGGTGGACACTCGCTGGGTCCCGTTCTGGGCAGCGGGAGGCTCAGCCCAGGCAGCCTGGACACACAGGCAGCCCTCCTGGCCCCGAGGGGCCCCCAAGCCGTCTCGGCACCCACGTGCTTTCTGCTTTAATGAACTCTAAAGTCTTCAGCTAGAGATTTTCTGCTCCAATCTGCATGTGCATCTCTTAAGCTACTTCACCAGTCTGAGGGCTTCACATGTATTATTCCAATCCTCCGGTTCTCAGGGCAATTGGAGCGTCCGAGATTGAGGAAAAATTACTTTGGGAGGAGAAGGAAGTGGAAGATCAAACGTTTATCTGTACAAATAAATTCAGTGCAATCCACAATTAAGCAGCATTTGACATTTAAAAAATATTTGATCCGTGTTTTGGCTTCCAGAGCTGCTTAAGGGAGCTGCAATGTGTAAATTACATTCAAATCAGGGTTAAATATAGTTCTCAGAGAAAGATTGTATGATTTAAATTGCCTAATTATTTGGGGGAAAAATCTGTTCTCCAATAATTAAGAGAATGAGGATGTTGGCTTGTTGGAGGGAGAGAGAGAGAGAGAGAGACAGTGAGAGAGGAGAGACAGACAGAGAGAGAGAAGGAGAGACAGAGAGAGAGGTCAGATACTGTATCTCCCACCTTGGCCTTGGTGAGCTGGAGGGGCTGCTAGAAAGGGCTGTGTCTACACAGGACTTGGAGCTGGGGTGGGGAGCCCCAGCGGGCAGGGCCTGGCAGGGGAGGGGCCACCCTGGCCCGGCTCCAGCCCAGCCCTTAGGATCTGCGGCCGGGCAGGACACCTAGTGCTTAGGAACCAGAAGCCGGCAGCATGGGGGCCGAGCCAGGGGGGCCGGCAGCAGTGCCAAGCAGGGAGCGGGTGCCAGCTCTCCCTGGCAGGGCTGGCCAGCATATGGGAGCACCCAGGCTGTGGCCAGACGCCTCGGGAGGGGAATTTGGCAGTGCTGAGTGCCAACAATCCGTTAATTAGGTGATATTTCTTAAAAGTCACGGGGGGGGGTGGGGGGGTGGGAAGGGGTGTGGATGGCAGTCTGCCTTCAGGAAAAATGCAAACCCTGGCAGTCCCTCCCTCCAGGCCAACGAAATGGGAGTGGGGGACACTGGGGGAGGAGACCGGCAGGTCCAGTCGAGGTGGCCTCTGCGACTCCCCTTGACATGAGGAGTGTGGCCTTGGGCCAATGCAGAGGGGCTCTGAGGCCCTGTTTCCTCGTCTGTGAAATAGGAGATTTATCTGCACCTCGCCTGCCAGGCTGAGGATTAAATGTGGGCATAGATGGCAGGCAGTGCAGGAGTCAGAGTCTGGAGGCAGACACCTGGCCCGGAGTCACTGCTGTGTGACTTTGGACAAGTTACTTAACCTCTCTGAGCCTCCGTTCTCCATCTGGAAAACGGGGATAGTCCTAGCAGCTACCCCGCAGGCTGTTGGGGGATTAATTTCATTAGATGCTATTTCTCTGACGAGGTTAGCACAGTGTCTGGCATGCAGCAGGTGCCCCACTCTGTCATCCCATAAATATTTACTGAGCACCTGTGAGGTGCCAGGCATGTGTCCAGGTGCCAGGCTTCCTCAAAGAGCAGGGGAGGAAAGACTCCTGCTCTCCTTCCAGTGCGGGAATCAGATTGTAACAAGGAAATGGGGTCATTGCAGAAAGCAGTGCGTGTTCTAAAACCAGAGGGTCTAGGAGCGGGGGGGGGAAGAGCCTGGGGGTGGGAGGGCGCTGCAGGTGGGGGTTTGTGAAGGCCTCTCGGGGGTGAGAAGGAGCTGTTCCAAGGATCTCAGGGAGGGTGCTCTGGGCAGAGGCCTGGGGGGTGGGGGTTGCTGTGTTTGTGAAACTGCGAGGGGCCTATGGGTCAGAGGGGCCACGCCAGGAGCTGTGGGGATGGCAGAGGTGGGGGCGTCAAGGGGCTGGGGCCAGCCGTGTGGGCCACAGAGGGACACTGGATGTCACTCTGAGAACAGCGGGAAGCCATTGGAGGCTGTTGAGCAGGGACCTTGGCCATCTGACTTGAGTGAAGGGAAATCGCACTGGCTGCGGGGGGCCTCCGGTGGAAGCAGGGGGCGGGGCAGGGGGCACTGGGGGCCGGACCAGGGTGGTAGCGGTGGGAGTGTGCACATGCGTGTGTGTGAATGCACACGTGTGTGTGCGTTCTCTGTGTGTGTGTATGCGTGTGCGTGCTGGATCAGTTTCCCGACTCTGCCTGGCTGCCCACCGCTTACTGCCGGAGGATGGAGGAAGCGTCCGTGTTAGAGATGCTCTTGGAGGCGGAGCCCACGGGGCTTGCTAATGGATTAGATGTTGAGGGTGGGGGTGGTGAAGCATGGAGTTGCCCGCTTCCCACATCACGAGCAGCAGTCACGCCCTGTGAGCCTACGAATGGCTCATGGTCAGAGCGATGAGCTGGGCACACACTGGCTACTCGGTGCTGGGGATCCAGCCGTGGGGAGCAGCTGGGGCTGGAAGCTGTGTGTGGAGTGAGGAGTGAACCGCTTGCTTTAGGCCCCGATGGGCTCTGGGCCCAGGGTGTAGGCGCTTCTCGGAGCACAGCAACGAAGGCATTCCAGCACGGGGCTGGCCCCCCGGAGCCCTCACTGCCCAGAGCTGCTGCCTCTGCTCGGCCCCAGGATCACCTGGAGGCGCTGGTGCTACTCTTCACTCCAGAAGGCCCCGGGAACGATCAGGTCGGCCCGCCTCTTGGAGCCCAACCGAGGGTCCTGCCTGCCCTGGAGGTGGAGACGCATCCCGGGGAGAGGCTGTGGGACACAGGAGGAGGGCACCGTGTGGTCAGTGCTGTGCAGACCACCCCGTTGCTCACTGCACTGGGAGGGTGGGGGTCTGAGGATGGGCACTGAGCACGGTCTTGGGCCTCAGGGCACGGTCACTTCTCTGCAGGAAGGGAGTCCAGCCCGCAGGTGCCCAGGGGCTGAGAGCCAAGGGGCTGGTGTAGTCGCACCCACTGGACAGTCAGAGGCAGCCGGGGCCTGGGCGTCTGGCTGAAGTTTCAGACGCTGCAGCTGGCTCTCGGAGAAGAAGTGACTTAGGCCCCTTCCTCCCTCTCCTGGCACAGCTGCCAGTTTGGGACGCTCGCTCTCAGGTAGGACCCATGGAGTAGGGGACCCCCAGTCTCCACCCCCCACTAGGCTGGCCTTGCTCCTCATCTCAGGCTGAGAGCCTCCCCACCCAGCACAGCCCTCCCTCTGGCCCTTGATGGAGCCCACTCAGCGGGTCCACCACCCAGGACCCCGCTGCTGTTTTGTGCCCCATGTCTTGAAGGACGCTAATGACCTGGTGGATTGAATTGACTAGGTCATGCACAATTCCTCTCCTCTGATGAGCTCCTTACCCTGGGCATCACCCTGAGTGAGGAGACCCCATGCACCAGCTCCCGGGAGGCTCTGATAGAATGGCAGTGCCTTGGGGACAGCCCACCCGACAACCCCCCAGGAAGTGTGCACATGGCTCAGACATCCTGGCCCTCTGGGGAGGAGTCAATGTGAACTTTTGTTGCCCAAGGAATCAGAGGGCAGGGGTGGAGGGAGGGTGCCGGGACCCACTTCACAGCACCAAGGTCTGGGGGCAGGGATGCTGTCCTCTGTCTAGGAGCCCACCAGACACGGAGGCTGGAAAGGCTGTCCCTTTCTGAGGTTCTCCCTGGTCGCGTGACCAGAGGGACGGCAGCCTGTGCTGTGGGGGACCATGTTTGTGACACCCCTGTCCAGTCTGGCTGACCTGAGGCCAAAAGCCTCCTGAGGACGTCAGACACACTTGCTGGTCCTCCCAGGGGCGATGGTCACGGCTCTGGTTATTCCCAGGAGCCAGGTCCGTGTGGGGCTCCTGCCTGGAGTGAGCTGGGCACTGCCATGCCCCCGTTCTGTGGACGAGGAACAGGCAGTGCTAAGCTTGTCCGCCTGCCAGCATCCACAGCAAGGGGGGCAAGAGCCTGACTCCAGGGCACCTGGTGGGCATGTGGGTCCTTCTCTCACCCGCACGCCCTGGGGCACGCCCGAAGAGCCAGCCGCAGGACCCACACCAAGGAGCTCGGGCACCAGACACT